TCATAACTAGACATGGGGCAGGAAATTAATGGACACACATTTTTAGGTGAGCTGTAGCACACACTTCCTTAACTTCAATGTCCTGGCTAAGGATAATTTTGGGGTCATTGTGTTTGACCTTTCTCACACGGAAATATCCATGTTTGTTATCATGTTCATGTTTGACTACCATGCCTGCAATTGTGTACTTGTGCGTATATCTCTGCCATAGTTATGAATGTACGCACATAAATTTGTTAATGTGGTTACACATACGTTTCTTTTCATGGTTGTATTTGCGGATATTCAAAGCCATGTAGGGTGCCAGAAGACCTTCGTAGATCCTTCGTAAAATATGTTGCACATATGCCACTTTGTTTGTTGGTTGCCGTTGGTCTTTACGTTCAACCTCACATGAATCATTCATAAAACATGTTGTTCATAAGTTGCATGGCTTTTTGGCTACAATTGTCCGCTTATCACTTGCAAAGTACTTTATTTTATTTATCATACTTATATTGAGATCCCACCCGTAAGAGGTTGCAGGTGAACCTACTCCTTGGCATATTCCCACCCTTTTTTGTGTGCAACAAATCCTATTTTCTCGTAGCTTTTGTGTTGCTAATGATTTGCCTTAATAAATCCTACTAACAAAGAAGAAAAGCGACACTCGACGTTCGCAAGACGTCGTTGTGGTGATTTCTCCTTTGCTAGGCCCCACATTTTAAAACATACTCCCTTCGATCCATAATAGGGGTTTTATATAGTTTTTTTAGGGGAAATTTTTATATAGCAAAAAGACAAATTCAGGTTTTGGGAAATTTTTATGAGGAAGTCTCACATAAGGAGTACCCGGGCTCCAGCGTATGGCCCAATGAGCGATGAGCCCACATCGACCGAGCGGACAAAAAACTGGATACAAGGAACTCGCCATCAAGCGAAAAAACTAACGCCGTTGCCGGGGATCGAACCCGGGTCACCCGCGTGACAGGCGGGAATACTTACCACTATACTACAACGACTGAATTGTTCAAATCGTCAATTCCAGACACTCTATAGAAATCAATCTCTAACTCGGCTTTGGTTCGGTGTACTGTACATACATACTCCTACCCGTGCCATGCCTGTTGCCAGTTGGGACCAGCTGCAGCAGTGTCTCCATGAATGGCATGCCCGGACGCTCAAGAGCCAAGAGCGAGCCTCACCGGCGGCAGGAACCTCGTGGTGGCCACGGTCGTCGGTGCCTTTCGGGAGCGACCAGCAGTACATCCAGCGCCGGCACGTACCGAGCCTTCATCGAGAGCGGAAATACTAAACGTACGGGAAGATATGATATCTAGCTGTTTCGAAGGGATTTTTCGTATCTTCCCCGGATGGGACGTGGCTGGCGCTTTCCAAGAGCCAAGACGGAACTCGACGTGCAAGATGCATATTCAAACGCAAAGCGACGGCCGCGCTCCTCTCCTCGATCGCCACCTCCACTAGCAGCAGCACCACATTCCTTCCTTCCCGCCCCCCGATAACCTCCTCCTCCCCGCTTCGGATCTCACCACCACTACCACCACCACGTCCGGCACTCCATTCCACCCCCAGTCGCTCGATGACGCAGACTCCCGGCGCCCACGCCGCCCCGGCCGCGCCGGCGCCTCCACCCCCCGCCGAGGGCGCCGGGCTGTCCGAGGCCATCGTGGCCGCGCTGCCGCCGGACCCGTACGACCAGCTGGAGGTGGCCCGCAAGATCACCGCCGTGGCCGTGGCCGCGCGCGCCTCCCGCCTGGAGCACGAGGCCGCGCGCCTCCGCCAGAAGCTGGCCGACAAGGACCGCCTCGCCGCGGAGCTCGCCGACAGGGCCGGCGCGCTCGACCAGGCCCTCCACGACGCCGACGCCCGCCTCCGCGTCGTCCTCGAAGACAACGTACGTGACCCCGATCGCCTCGCCGCTTCGGTTTTGCCGGTTGCCAGCTGGTGCTGAGATTTTGTCGTTGGTCTTCTTCTTCTTGTCGCGTAGGCTAAGCTGGTGAAGGAGAGGGACTCGCTCGTCCAGACGTCCAGGAAGCTGGCCAGGGACCTCGCCAAGGTGACGCCATTTGTGATCGTCTGCGATCACACGGCTGTTGTGCTCGCGTTTACTACTAACTTTTCTGCGATCACACTTGCAGCTGGAGACATTCAAGAGGCACCTGATGCAGTCACTGGGGGACGATAATTCTTCAGTAAGTTCCTCCTCTGTCCCCCGTTTCTGCCAGGCAATGGCCTCTGTTGCCGTGCTCTGTAACCGAAGATCAGTGACAGTGTATGTATGTATTGCTAGTATTAGTCATGATGTGTCCTTCTCTGCAGAGTCAGGAGACAGTCGACATCAGAACATGTGAGCAGTCGGTCGCCAAAGCAAGTTCCTGGAGAGGTATATATACATCATGATCACTGCTCTCCCTCGTGGACAATTTTCATCTCTAGCAGCTCATTGTGTTCCATCTGTGCCCATCGACCTCCCCGAAGACGACGCGTCCGCGAGCAATAATCCTGCTCCTGCATCCACCACACGAGCCGACGGATCTTCCGAAGCCGAAAGCGTAAACCAGGAAGGTACGCTACCTCCGTTCCAAAATACATCTATTTTGAAACGGAGGGAGTAGTTACGATCAACAACATTCTACTATAATATTATCTGCAGTGAAGCACAACGACAGAGTTCTGAACAGCTATACGGTACTTCTCTTGTGTGCACGTTGACAGTGGCAAGGCCGTTCGAGCAGAAGCTCACCATCACGCACATGACCCCGCGCCTCATGGCCGACCCGTCGCCGAAGCAGAGGTCCTCCTCCGCGGCCTCCACCAGGAGATACTCCACCGCCGTGTCCCCGAAGCTGGCGTCCCGCGCCTCGTCCCCTAGACGGTACTCCACGGCCGTGTCGCCGAAGCTGTCGTCCGGCAGCAGCGGCGCCGGCACCGCCAGTTCCCCGCGGCTCGAAGGCCACATGGCGATGTCGGCGTGGCTCCCCTCCAGCAAGATGTCCTCTGCGGCCAATTCACCCCCTCGTGGGCACTCAGTCTCAGGTACTCGAACGAACGTTCTTCTTTTTTTTGTTCCAGGAGTTCAGCATTCAGCTCGTTCATCTGGAGATTGTTCTTCATTTTCTCCACACATAAGGACGTTGTTCTTCTGGGGTTTTTTCAGGACGCACGACAAGGATAGATGGCAAGGAGTTCTTCCGTCAAGCAAGGTACCACTCGGTACCTCTCGATTTGTTTTGACAGAAAAACATGGCATGGCAACAACTTATTTCCCTCCTCTCTTTTTTTTTTTTGCTTCATCCGCAGGAGCCGTCTGTCATACGAACAGTTTGCTGCTTTCCTCGCCAACATCAAGGAGCTGAACGCTCACAGGCAATCCCAAGAGGTAACCCTCACTTTCAGTTTCCAGCTGGATCCGTGGTTTCTTTCGGATACAGATCTTGAGGTGTACTATATTGGTGTGGTGGTGCAGGAGACCCTCGAGAAGGCGGACCAGATCTTCGGCGCAGAAAACAAGGACCTCCTCCTCTCATTTCAGGGCCTACTTAGCCGCAGCCTCACGTAACACACACACACCAATATATACCACAGCTGATCATGAGCTGAATGCAATGCAGCAAGTGAAAGTTATGTGCACTTTGTATGCAGAATAATCATCTGCTCATCGCAAAAGAAAAGAATAATCATCATTTCTTTATCATACGAAGAACTGCACGCGTCAAACATAAACCCCTGGAGCAGCTCTCCTGCGTTCCAGACAGGTTGTGCTTTACGCTCCTTGTTGTAATCAGACACTTTTTTGCACTATAAATGGAAAACAGATCAAAGGGGGTCATGTGCGTCACACATGGTAGTGATCACAAGCAGTTGGCTACAGAGCCACGCACCAAGATTGAACAGGGTTTACTTGCAATGATAAGAGAACGAACCACTACAATTCAGATTCTGAAAGTCAAGAAGAATACCGTCTTCACATTCAGAGTCGTAAGTCGTAACTAGAAGCAGATGCCAGATTTCAACCTTTCAAAGGTCACTTTTGATGACCAACGACTATCTCAGTGTCAGTGGTCGACGGAGGCTTAGAAGCACCCAATGCACACGCAGTTTGAAGCTTCCTAAGCAATATCCAGACCGGTATATGTACAAGACGGAGAATATCCGTGGAAAATTTGAGGCCGTGCTCAAGCATACTTCTGGATTATGTACATGGGGTTTTAGCTTGTGCTGCGAGTCGCACTATCTAGTTTTACTCGGGGAGTATATGTAATTTTATGTGACTGTAAGGCAGGATGATGTTTTTGTAGATGGGCTGCCATGAGCTTGCATCTGCTATTCTTCTCCTCCTCACTCCCTCTTAGTTAGCGTCTTTTTAAGGCCTCTCAAGATCTTTGCAAACCATATCGTGTTCATGATGAGTAGTATTGTGGGCACGCCAAATATCAGAACGCGGCTGAAGGTCCGCATCTGCATCACCTGTCAATAATTCAGATCAAATTTAGTTTCAGAGTCATCGATGTGATATTTGTCACATAGTTACATGCTGTCACACAAGTAGGAATTACGTCATCATAGTGGAAGTAGATGTGGTAGAACAAGTAGATGAATAGAATTATCCGTGCCACCTGTATTACACAAATGGTTGACTACGTTAGAGAGAAAATTGTGGTAAAACAAGACCAAAGTAAAGCAAGCCAAAAGAAAAAAAAACGGAAGCAGAAACAGTTACACACCAAGGGCCTAGCAAGAAACAGAAACCGAAGACAAAGCCAAACAACCTAGGGAAAACCTACTGAAGAGAGCATTGTTAAACTAAATTACAGTATGGCCTCGGCACAGAAACATCTGGGGGTACAATAGCATTAATATTTCAACTTGTACGATAAGTTTCTCTAAAATCACAAGACCAATTGCTAATACTGTATCCCAGTCCCCAAGACGAGTTAGCAAATGTCCGATGTGAGTTATGAAGAACACAAACACAATAAAAGACTTCATCTATTATAAAGAAGCTTGAGGTATTCCACTAGCTGTAATTTTAAAAAGGGCATAGTGGAATAGAGTGTATAAAGGAGTAGACAAACCTTAGCTTGAAGCAAATTCACATAACAAAATAATTGTTTTGATCTGGCTATACAATTTGAAATGTTCATTCATGTATGCACACATTGAGGCATACTGAAGAGTGAAGACTAATTAACTTGTGATCAGTTGCGTGAAATACCGTGAATCCTATAACTACTTTGTAGAAACTTCCACTTACCAGCCATGCAACAACCATAAAGCTACCGTTCACAACATAGGCCTTGGATCTTTTCAGTCCAGCAGTATCAAGATACCTTCATAACAGAAGGTAACCGGAAAGATCAGACCGAATGAAATAACAATAATGACCCAGAAATATTGTGCATTCATTGAATCAAAGCAAATACCAGCGGAGGTTAATTCCAGGTGTGGTTCCTTCAGAGATGAGAACCATGTATGTATACAACTGGCCTTCCCCAGAATTCACAGAATAGACTATGGAAACAAGTGACAGGAAGTGATGAAGAACCTGGCAATGGTCAACCCATAGTGAATACAAAAATGCAGCAACGACAATTGAACAAATACAATGAATATTAACGTGTGTCAAGGAAGAAATATCACATAAGGGCACTTACATACTCCATTCCACCTAGGGAAGGATAAACCCAAAATATCATAGCAATGTCAGTGATGAAGTACCCAACAGATACCTGGACAAATGAAATTAGGCCGATATGAGGCAAATAGAAAATGCATGCCAACATAGGCATTTCTTGAATGGGAACAAAATAGTAGTACTTTACCGCTAGTGTAATATTAGAGAGGTTTGAACTCCGGAAAGTTACTGGTCCATCCAGCTTATCAGAGTATAGGTCGGAGAAGAATACTAGGTACACTGACATGAATGTGATGAAAATTGCATGGACAGTGGAGATGCCCCTAGAATAGGTAAAAGATCGGTCTAAGTAGATATGTCAATAAGCACAGGGTGAAATTGGACATAAATTTTGCAGACAGAAGGCTTCACCTGTTGTTCCACTCAAGCTTTTGGGCTTTTGTAAGAGAAGCATAACACTTGTAGAAGAATGAGCTGACTAAGTGTGTGATGTCATAGACCTGCAAACCAAAAGGGAATTTGTAGCCAAGAAAGTAACTAGAGTTCTGGTACACTGAGATCAATCATAACTTGTTCCATGCAAGAATTTCAGGGTTAACATAAATGTAAAATAAAACAAGAGAAACTCATAGGTGGTAGTGTGAGTGAGTGAGTGCAAAGGGTTTTGAAAAGTCAAACTCTGAAAACAATGGTAGAACTGATGATTATCATCTGCATGCTGCTATCTACTTTTTTACATCGCAGAATAGTTAATAACTTACTACATACACATACCACTATTGCCTAAAGGATACAGATGGTACACAAGGTATTGTAAGGGATCCTGGCATACACAGGCACACACAAAGGGCAAATAAAAGGAAATTATTGCAATATTACATATATATGGAAATACACTGAGGTCAACCTGTATAATACAGATTAAAAACATATATACATTTTGATTCAACTTCTGTTTCCCATGGTAGCCAAATATTGATTAAAAAATGGTTATTATATTGATAGGATTAGGTTGATTTTTGTTAGCTAAACTGTAACATGCTTGGTTTTGAAAATCTTGTATTGAGTATCCAAATTTTACTGAAGAACTTAACTGCTCATACTAAACAAAAACAAAAACGTTACAAGCAAAACAAACTTTTAAATCTATTTCATGACTCTAATCTGAAAATTCATCACAGCTTGCATGTGAGTTTAAAACTTACATAACTTCAACTGATTTCAGATGCATACGCGGATTAGGATCGGATGTGGTGGGTAGCCATCGACATATTCCTAATTAGATCTCAGCCTCTCAGGCTAAACTGAGAATTTGCATATCCTACATTAGATCTTTACAGAAACCTGCTTATACTAATAGCCATATACTCCCTCCGTTCCTAAATATAAGTCTTTGTAGAGAATCCACTATGAAGCACATACGGATGTATATAGATGCATTTAAAGTTTACATTCACTCATTTTGCTCCGTATGTAGTCCGTAGTGAAATCTCTACAAATACTTATATTTAGGAACGGAGGGAGTATATAGTACAAATGGTGTTCGGTAGTCCACAATTTTCACATAGTGAAGTTAAGCAAAAATGCAAAAACTAACATCTATTTGTTTCTTCCATCTAAATACATGAATCATGTGAGCATCACTAAATTCACAGGTGACATGATCATAAATGTCAACAAATAAGAGGGGAGCAAATAATACCATCTTGCACATCAGGATCCCACCAAGCATAGCAGTGTACGAAACATATGCATCTGCAAGAAGGTATTCCTTAACCAGTGACTCTGCTTTGTACGAGTAGGCCTTAGCCGCCATAACAGAGGTTGTGGACAGATCCATCAATTCCTATATCTTGACTCAGCAACCTGATGAAAGAGACAAAGTCACATAACAAGGTACATTTTGAGCAATAGAGAAGCCAGAATTATAAAATGTCCACGCTAAGATTAAAAATAGTTTTTGTGTGACATCCAGTTGACCGTAGAAGAACAACCAAGATATGGGTCATTGCTAAACAGTACTCGGAATAATCTTCCATGAAGTACAACACCCAACTGTCACTTGAATGCATAATGGTAAAGTAGACGAACCCGACCACATGAAGAAGCCATCCATGTCTTAAAATGCGACACTGAAGCCAAATAAATAATCAATCCCTGTCATGTGTCACTTTCACTAGAATAAAATAGCAAGCAGAAGCATGCACCAGAGATTGAGTCTATACTCTATACTCTATACTGAAAGACTGGAAGCTGTGAATAAAGCAACAGCGTACTGCCGAAGCCAATGAATGGATCCTATTAACAATTGCTAGAGCCACAGTTTAAGTAAGATAATGGTTGAGGTCCCCGTCAACATGGAGCCAGCTACGAATCCAAAACGATAGCAGCTAATTGCATGCTTGACAGCCATCCCTCTAAACACTAAAATTCAGGTACTATATTGGAGAATGTATCGAATCCAAAACAACTCATAACAGCGTGTGGCACCTGTAATCACGCGCAACAACTCGCACGAAAATAGTACTCGAGGATAAGTAACACGGAGAAGGTACGTCCATAAACCTGACTAAATAAGGCAACGCACAAAGCGCACGAAGGAATCAAGAAGGGATGGGGGTCAGAAAAGGTGCGCAAGAGGGGCAACCTTTTGCGGCGTCACTCAAACCGCCAGCTCGGCGGAAAACATCCGCACGTTGCGACCAATTGGGGCACGGAATCGATGCCCGGACGACAATGGCACGCACCGTCGCCCGGAAGAAAACACCAGAGCGATCAAAAGGAAACAGCCCCGAGTCCAGGAAGGCACGCCGCCGCGCGCGACCGATAATAACCGAAACCAAAAATCCGAGGAAACGGCGAGAGAGAGAGAGA